AAATCTTTCTCCTCTCACCTTAAAAATATGCCCCCTAATTTTGAATTCCCCCAGCCTAGGGAAAAGACCCTTGTCATTCACCTTATCTATGCCCCTCATGATTTTAAATACTCTATAAGGTCACCACTTAATGTCCTACACTCCAGTGTGAAAAGTCCCAGCCTATCCAGCCTCTCCTTATAACTCAAACCCTCCATACCCAGTAATATCCTAGTAAATCTCTTCTGAACCCTCTCCAGCTTAATAACATTGTTCCTATAACACAGTGACCAGAACTGGACACAGTACTCCAGAAGTAGCCTCACCAATGTCCTGTACAACCACAACATGACATCCCAACTCCTGTACTCAAAGGTCTGAGCACTGAAGGCATTGTTGTAAGTTGAAGGGGAAAATATTCTCCTGGTCCTTTTTAACTATCTGGCAGTGTCCAACTTCCATTACCTGTTTCATAGTCCAAAAGGACAAATATATGATCTCTTCTAATATTCTTTGTCCCTTATTCCTGCATTCTTTACTAAAAAAAATGTTCACCTTTTGGAGAAGAGATGAGCAACTGCCTGTGTAATTTGAACATAATCGACTTTTTGTCTTCTACATTTCTACCCCCTGATGTCAACAACACTTCTTTAATTTCTTCAGTGGAGATGCAATGTACCGTTAAAGGAATGCAGTAGAGTCCCAATTGTGTGAATTGCAAATTCACAGACTTTCCCAAATACAATAGCTTTGTCATTTTCCACATCCATGCCTTCACTTTCTTCATTGATGGCTGACTTAGCAAGAAAGGTATTTCATCAGACACTACATCTGTGCTCATAGAGTGACTGATCCTGGCTCTTTTACAAGGAGTTACCCACTGTTTTTAAAGATATTAATATGTTATCGTCTCCAAGCCTGATTCTGGTGGAACTGAGAAATTCCTTCACTTTGTTCTAATCCCTAGTACTTAGAATCTGGGTAGCATTTTAGCCAGTCGATTCCGCACACTGTCAAACACTGCACAGTTAAAAGATGCTGGCACCAACACATTCATTGAATTGAGTTGGTTTTATTGTCATCACTGCACTGAAATTTCTTGTGATGAATTACTTTTCCTTGATCCATATCTCTACCTTCTTCCTCTGAATCTTTCCCTTCATGTTTAGCTTTGAATACTCTGTTGCTTAGCACAGTTGGCTGAAAGGCTGATTTGCTATGTAGAGTGATGCCAACAGCATGAGTTCAATTCCCACACTAGCTGACATTATCATGAAGAACTTATCTTCTCACCCTCTCCCCTTACCTGAGGTGTGGCGACTGTCAGGTTAAACCCCCATCAGTTGGTTTGGGACAGTTCATGATGTATCAGTATTTTGAATCACACCTAAAAACATCAATTGATCACACTCGGGGCTCTTAAGGGGTTCATTCTCCTTTTATAACTCCCAAATTCTCTTCGCTTCTTCAGATTGTCAAAAGCATTTCTGTCCTCATTTGTCTTCACTATAATTCAATTGTACAGTCTCCTGTGACCTGTATCTAAGACAATCTTGCCAGCAGATTAACGCTGTGTCCTGCTGTTTGTTGTATTTCTGATAGCTCCATTCGGGCCACAACTGTTGGAAAAGAATGCTTTCCAAGGAATTTTTCCATGCTTCTGACATTTATTCAAGCAGTTTGTGTTTATCCACCCATTTATCTCTGTCAAAACACAAAGTCTATCTACACTTGATAGTTTAGCACTGTTTAATAACTGAAAAACCAGTACCGATTGAGAAATTCACAGCTGCAGTCTTGTATACAATCTACTGAATTCCGTTCTGTGACACTACCTTCACTCTCTCTAAATTTATCACGATATGACCACGGTACTGGGTTTCTCAGTGTACTGCACTTCTCTTCCATTGAGGAGCTCTGTGGAAGGATAACGTGGAAATGGTTAGCAATCTCCATGTGGCTCAGTTTGCTTTTTATTTGTGCCTCAGGGTTCAGTTCCAGATTCTCAAGCCCCCGGAACATGCTGAAGGTGAACAGAAAGTGGAGTTCCTCCATCTCGCCCCTCTCTGACAACAACATTGACCTTCACACCATGATCAGGACATCACCTAACTCCCTGGTGGCCTTTATCAATAACTCTCACTGTGGCTCAACAACCAGTGGCTCGTACGGCCACTTATCCGTCACAGGCATCAGGTGAGGCTGTTTGCAAAACTGAAACATTGTCTCCACTTGCTAGATCGGAGAATCTGCAAATATCGAGATATGGGGAAAGTACTATATGCCCAACATATTGAGATCAGTATCGACCCTGGCTTCTCACCAAAAGCCTCAGGCCCATCTATCCAGAAACATAGCGAGTCGCCCTTTGAGCTATTTTTCTCGGCTTCTTTGCTAGTTCACTCCTAGTTCCCGAATTTCTTTAAATGAAGGCCACTCCCCTTGCATTTGAGTCCTCGAACAGAACAAACAGCTTTCCTGTGTCAGCCTTGTCAAGGCTTTCGCAGATGGGAAAGCCATAACAACAACATCTTGAATGATTCTGGTTTCCAATGAAGGCCAATCAGCTGAATCTGTGCAGGGTTTGGATTCGGATAGTCTACAGTTCCTCGTTGACTTGATCTTGCACAGGGAGGAGTAGGAGTAGCATCAGGGAAATTCTTTACTATGGAGATGGCGTTGGTCAGCTCAGTTCATGACAGGCCGGGCATTGTCCAACTGAATCAAAATAGAAAGAAATGTCCTGTTCGACGTGTTGAGTGAACGTTTGAAAGGGGCTACCGTGAGCTGACATGGTATCTGACCTGCAGATGTCTTTGTAACAATACGTTCTGATTGGTTTTGAATTGCAGCCCAACATGTGGATTTCCTCATCCTCCGACGCCGTCCTCCAAACACCAGCAGTTCCCCATTCAGCCAAGAGGCCTGGCCACCACGTTTGGGAACAGCCAACCCTCAGTGTCCTGCAGCTCCCAGCAGCCCATTGGAGTCACTCTTCTGACACGCTCACAACCGCACCAGCCTTCCAAGCCATTCCAGGTATGTAAGAGAGGAAGCAAGGCTCAAATAGGAGAGAACCACTCCAATATAATCCCTCATCTTCATCCTGCATCCCAACAACGGTGGGAGGTCGCGGGGCGGGGGGGAATGTGTCAGGATGTAGGTGGCACAATGGCTCAGTTGTTAGCACTGCTGCCTCACAGTGCCAGGAACCCGAGTTCGATTCTCACCCTCGGGCGACTGTCTGTGTGGAGTTTGTACATTCTCCCTGTGTCTGTGTGGGTTTCCTCCGGGTGCTCCAGTTTCCTCCCACAGTCCAAAGATGTGCAGGTTAGGGTGGATTGGCCATGCTAAATTGTCCCATAGTGCCCAGGGATGTGCAGGTTAGGGTGGATTGGCCGTGCTAAATTGTCCCGTAGTGCCCAGGGATGTGCGGGTTAGGGTGGATTGGCTGTGCTAAATTGTCCCGTAGTGCCCAGGGATGTGCGGGTTAGGGTGGATTGGCCATGCTAAATTGTCCCATATTGCCCAGTGATGTGCAGGTTAGGGTGGGTTGGCCGTGCTAAATTGTCCCATAGTGCCCAGGGATGTGCAGGCTAAGAGGGTTAGCCACGGTAACGAGGCTACGGGTGTAGGCGGGATGCTCTCTGGAGGGTCAGTGCAGACTTGATGGGCAAAAAGGCCTCTCTCTGCACTGTAGGGATTCTGTGTTGTGCAGTATTAGGAAAAATTGGTTGATGTGATTCTGAGAGAAGGTAGTGTGAGAGACAGGGACTCAGTGGATGGAAATGTAATCACAGTGTGCCATCCTGATGCCAGGACAGAAAGTGGGTACCCCTTACACTCACTTGCATTCCCCATGCAATGGCAGCTTATCACCAATTGTTCCTCTGTTGACGCACATTGCCATGAGGTACTCCACTTTCAGATGGGAGGTCCAATGTGGCAGTTACTTAGTGCTAATGTCTCATTTCAACCCATAATGAAGGCCGAGTCATCTGTCAGCAGCTCGCTGGATCCTATCAATGCCAGGTACCTGGAAGAGCGATCGGAAGGAGATGTGTCCAGCCCTGCTTCTACAGGCACACAGGTAAATAACTGCCTGGAGCTTCATTTCTGTTACTCACCCACTTCTCTGTTGACTGTCTTCCCTCAAGAGGCTGAGTCTAAAGTGACCGTTTCCAGGTCTGGATGCTGTGGGTGAATACAATCTCGCTCACACCCAGTCTAGGCACGTGAGCCCCAACAGGACTCACTGGATCACACAGGCCAGAGTGCCAACTGCTGCCTCAGTTTCTTCACCCAACGCAAATCCCAGTGGGTTCAGCGCTAAGCAAACGCCCTTCTGACCTCAGCACCACCTCGCAAGGTACCTCCGAGACTGGGACAGGCGTGTGCGCAAAGGCTGAGATTTGGGTGAAGAGGAAGACGGAGAGTAGGCGCTACCTGATACAAAGATCAAACCATGAATAATATATTGGAGGCTTTATAGTGGTGCAATTCCTGGGCCAATAGAGAGGTGACTTAAAACAATTCTGTCACACTTAGCTCAGGATAGCCAGGTTTGTAGAAGCTGCTGAGCTTGCAACTCCTATCCATTGAGGGTCACAAATGTTATGAACATTTTCTCAGAGTCACAGCCCATCGAGCCAGCACTGGCTGTATGATCTAGTGCCAGTCTCCTGCATTTTCCTCGTATCCCTTCTATTGTTACTATCCACAAAAATTGTCCCAGTCTTGAAGTGAATGGAAGGAATCATGTTTATGGTGGAGTCCATTGTGCCTGCATTAGTTCCCTTACCTAGTGCTAATCTCCTGCCGTTTCCCCATATCGCTGCATGCTATTTTTCAAATAACCATCCATGCCCTTATGAATGCCTCCATTAAATCAGTCTCCACCACATTTCCAGGCAGTGCATTCCAGACCTGAACTACTCGCCGAGGAGAAAACAAGTTTTACCTCACCTCATACTCGCTTCATTTGCACACCACTTCAAATCTATCACTTGAACCAGCTCCAGGCTGATTCAAAAGGCAGCCTGATCGAAATTTTCCCTGCCTTCCTCGCTGACACTCATCCTCTGAGCCACCTGTCTTCCTGGGCAGGCATCCTCTCAAGTGGATCGCTCCGAAGCGACCCCCACGCTGCCTGTGCACATGGTTTCTCCCAGTGAGGCACAGTGCTGTGGTTGCCGGAGATCTGAGTGACAAACGGAAGGTTCTGGAGAAACTCTGGAAGCTCATACTCTGCCCTCAATTTTTACTTCCCCCCCCCTTTTTTATTAAAAACCACCGCCCCCCCCCCCCCCCCCCCCCCATGTCTTGTTTGCATGCGCTTGCTCTTAGGAGAGCTGACCTATTTTCTGTTATTAACGCTCACATCAATACCTACTCTTCGACTGCATCACCTCCTTACTACTTTACGGTACTCCTTTTGCTCTGGTTCACCTTCACTGTAAAGTCAGACAGCACAGAAGAAGCCCTTCAGCCCATCGAATCTGTGCTGACTTACCTACACTGTCCTACACCAGACCCATAGTCTTGAACGTTATGACATTTCAAGTGCTCACCCAAGTACTTTTTAAAGATTGTGAGGTTTCTCGCCTCAACTACCCTCCCAGGCAGTGCATTCCAGACCCCCATCACCCTCTGGGTGAAAATGTTTTACCTTAATTCCCTTCCAAACCTCCTTAAAATTGTTCCCCCTTGCTTCCTTCAACTAAGGGGAACAGCTGCTTTCTATACCCCCCTGCCCATGCCCCTCATAATTTTATACACCTCTATCAGGAACTCCCAACCTTCTCTGCTCCAATAAAATAGCCTGAGCTTATCCAGCCCCTCTTCATCGCTAAATCCATGAAATCATCTGTTCCAGTTCTTGCTCCTCACTCCCACCTTTTGTTCCTACAGTATAAAACCCATCACGTTTCCTGCCCACTTTCAGTTCTGAAGGAGTGTTGCTGAATTCAAAACGCAAACTCTGTTGTCAGCCAGAGCTGCTGACACTGCCTCTTTGTATTTGACCTCCCACTGTCTCCTGAGTGATGGTCTCCTGGAAGTTAGAAACATGAGTTATCAGAAATGAGAATGCTAGGGACACTCAGCAGGTCTGGCAGCATCTGTGGAGAGAGAAAACATTTCAGGCATTTCACCATTGGCAGAGCTATCCAACATGTTCCAACGTCCCCCTCCCCCCACTTTCTCCCTGCAGATGTAGACCTTTTGGAGTGTGAATCCTTAAATTTGGGTCATTTGATTCTCCTGCCTGTGGAAACAATTTCCAGAATTAACATTTGAACAGACCTCTCAAACATTAATTCTGATCTCTCTCTCTCTCTGCACCTTGTCTGCGGCTGTAACACTGTAATCTGTGCTTTGTTCTGCTATCCTGATGCACTTAGTATGGTACAATCTGCCTCTGTAGCATGCAAAACAGCACTTTTCACTGTATCTCAATACACGTGACAACAATAAATCAATCAATCACTTCATCGTATTCCCTCAAAG